TAGCAACTCAATGCAAAAAATCTGCCGAGAGACAGCTGGTATCTCAAAAAACTTGTTAGTCAGGACACTCGTAAGTCAAGGCCCCACAGTATCAACAGTACAATGATTGAAATTTCTTTTGAGAGCCAGATTTTCTCAACTTAAACTGTATAGGTAGGTACATTGTTATTAACTTAATTAGGGTACTCCTAAGGCTTAGGAAGAGCCACACTCAAGGGGCCAAAGAGCCGCATGTGGCTCGCGAGCCGCAGTTTGCCGACCACGAAGACCCTTCCCATACCTAATGGATCAAAACCTCATGAGTAGATCCCAAATACGATTAATTATTAAAATGCTCAACAGGTGATGTTGATTTTAGACAGGATTAAGAAACATTGCACAAAATAAATTTTTCAAGCCACAGTTGTTGTTTTGTTACCTCTTATGTATGATCTAGTCTTATTTCAATAAATAAGGAAACAAAACATCATATAAAACTTTATGTATGTACCATGATTCCCATTTTTAATAAACATATGCATGTATAGACACACAGGCATAAGTGGAAGCCAAAACTTGATTATGTGGATGGTGAAGTTACAGATGATTTTATTTGTTCCTTGTCTCTGGATTCTCAAAACATTCTAAAATGCATATAGATTATTTTAATTGAACTGTCAATTATTAAGGGCTATATATTCCTGATATTATATTCATTATGGTAAAACGCTAGCACCATGTTCTGCAGAACGATGACTCTCCCAAAAAATAAGGGAAGAGCTATATAGGCTATCCTCTTCTTAGATATTTGCAAAGTAATTTGTGCATAAAGTATAAAATTTGTACATAAAGTCCAAGGTGTGCTTTTACAAAAGCCTATTATTTAATTGAACACAATCCGTCCTAAATGTGTTTGACCAAATAACCTTGGAACAAAGTCCAATCCAGTATCACGTGCAATACAAGTTGTTCCTAAAGTTTAGGAAGAAATGCTTTTGTGTCCTTTTTTTATAAAACTGCTAAATATGAGTAAGTTTTAAAATAATATTGACAGTAGAAGAATTTTTTTTAAAAAGGACTATGCTGATTCATTTCTGTTTACAAATAGATGCTTCAATACTATCCGGTTTACATGCTGCTTCCCTGGGAACAACCTCAGCAAACAGTCCCAGAGTTACCTCCACAAACAGGACAGCAGCAATTTGAGGAGCAGGTACTGCAACTGTTTGATTTCAAGCTAACTAGTTCTAGTTCCATCCGAGAAAGGAGAAGATCAGGCAACTTTTAAGAGGAAAGAATAGCTAAGTACATTTAGTGAAAAAAAATTCAATAGCTTGAACTATGGTGATCATAAAAGAATTTGGTGTTTTTTCCTAAAGTACCACTAATTTGGAAATGTTCTAAGGCTGAACTTTAAAATCATGAGATCAGTGAGTGGATTTAATAAAATCAGAGGGCAAAAACTAAATCATCTTGGAAAATGAAGTTTTCTAAAACCAGGTCTCAGGGTGTATGGGGAAGGCAACCAATCGATGTGTCTCTCTCACATCAATGTTTCTCTCTCTCTCTCTCTCTCTCTCTCTC